CCCCTTCCCCCCCCCTCCCCAAATTCTATGTATTCCCCCTTTGGCGCAAAAAAACTAAGTCCGTAACAGACAGAGACATTCCTCCCCTTTCTACTCCGACTAGGAAATTTCTGATTAAGTCCCTCTCAGCCTGAGACATCACTCTCACATCCCTTGCAACCTCGAAAATTTGGCTAAGTCCCAAGCAGTCCTAGACGGTCGACAGGTTACGAATTTTCGGCAAAGTACCTCACAGCCAGAGACATTCGACCCACACCCCTCGCCACCCAAAAAATTAGTCTAAGTTCCTCACAGCTCGAGACATCTCTCCTGCACCCATCTCACTCCTTCCCTAAACATTTGTCGAAGTCCACACCAAAACAGCTCTTGTGAGAACAGGGTTCGGGAGAAATCTCACTATAGCCAACAGAGTTGGCAGAGAAGATACTCTGCCAAACATGGGTTACCAAACAGGTGGTATGAGCCTTCCTAACCTGTAGGGTATTTCGTAGGAAGTGTCTCGCTCTGTGACACAACGTCATTGACAGCTAAGGTAAGTACACGTTAGCACGTTTACTGACGCGTGCTTATCTAGGCTGTTGAATCTCTGACCCGAAGTGATGTGACACTTGCGAGGAAACCTTGGGCAAGCAATCCAAGACTGTGATGAGTGTTTCACAAAAGTAGCGCGGAATCGAATGTCGAGGTTCAGAATAACATAATGTCATACAATGGAATGGCGAAGCAAGATATAGGAACACCAGAGCAATCCTTGTCGTGTGATCAATCAGGTTCAAAGAAGGCATCCGAGGACGCAGAACGCTTCGGAGTGATGCGGAACGGTTCGGTGCCGTGTTCGGGCCAAAGCTAGGGCAGGTGTCCGTGCCTTGTGGGGTTGGGGTACGCGTTAGCAGTGTGGCGCGCTAAGGAATGGAAAAATCCTTACACTACCCCCCGTCTAGCGAAGGTGGTCTATGTTTGCGACGTGCTTGCAAGATAAATAATCCCAGAGTACAGTAGGTGACTGTACTTGTACCGTGGGAACCCATTTGTCGTCCTCGCTGGTACGATGAGTCCATCGTATCAGAATGTCAACGTGTCGTTCCTAGCTGTTGATCCTTACGCGATGGCTCAGGATCTTTGCTGGTTCAATGAGCGTCTCCTCAGCTGGCCGTAGATCCTGAGCGATCGCTGTCGGGTGACGTTCGACGTATCAGCAACAAAAGGACGAAGGAGGCTGACGTGGAAGGAATTATGAATTTTCCAGTTGTCGGGCAGGCGGATTTGGGCAGTCACTGGGGTTATAATCTTTATGATCTTGAAAGGTCCACAGTAGTGGGTTCGAAGTTTTTATGGTATCTTCGGGCGAAGGTTTTTTGTGTCAAGGAGGACTATTTTCCCTGTAGTCAAGGTATTATGTCGTCTGTGGCGGTCGGTGTATTGGCGGGCAGTGACATTGGCTTTTCGGATAAATTCGATGGCTTTTGTGCGGGCAATTTGAAGGTCTTCGACGAACTGCTGCAATCAGGGAACTTGGCTTTCGGCGTTGGTGGAAACGGATACTGTCGGATCCATCCCGTAATTCCGGAAACTGGGCGAATGATTGGTCGTGGCTGAGGGTGCATTGTTTGTAGGAAAACTCGAGCATGGGTAGCGAATCTTCCCATTTGTTGATATACGGGCAGTTACTGTGAATCAACTGTTCCATGGTCTGATTTTTCCATACCGTCTGACCGTCGGCTTGCGGGTGATAGGCGGATGAGAGCTGAAGGCGGGTGTCATATCGGTTCCACGTGTCTTGCCAGATGTGCGAGGTAAAATTTGGATCTCTATCACTGATGATCGCCGCAGGGATACCATGCAGGCGAACGACGGCCGAGATGAACAGATGCGCAGTTTCTTTGGATGTGATCATTGTGCGACATGGCGCGAAATGAGCCATTTTCGCGAGGCGGTCGATGACGACAAGAACCGCGTCGTTTCCACTTGGTCTGGTCGGCAGGCTGGTGACAAAATCCATTGTCACGTGTTGCCAAGGTCGCTAGGGTGGTTCGAGGGGCTGTAACAGTTGTGCTGACCGCTGGCATGATGATTTCATTGACTGGCAGATCGGACACGTACCCACGTGTTTTTCCACGTCCGAAATCATGTCTGGCCAGTAATAGAACCGATGAATTGCCTTCAGAGTCTTGTCAACCCCGAAATGTCTCGATAAGTTCTAATCGTAGACTTCTTGAATTAGTAATTTGCGAAGTAGACGATAATTTGGAACCCAAATTCATTCCGTTCCCTCGTTAACGTAATAGGATCCCCGTGCAGTTGTGAACTACTGGTGGCCGTTGTTTACGAAAAAGGAATCGGTCGAATATCCGTGGATAAATAGTCCATTCAGCAACGAGCTCGTTTGGGCGATTAGTACAGCGGTAGTTTGGGCACATGGTCTGGAGAGGGCGTCAGCAATGTTGTTGGCACCCTCCTTGTACATGATTCGATACGTAAAGTTTGACTCCAGATACTCCAACCAGCAAATCTGCCAAAGGTTGAGGTTCAGCTGCGCTCGCAGGTACTGTAGGGATATGTGATTTGTTCGTACAATCACGTCGGCTCCCGTCAGATAGCATCGCCATATTTTGAACGCGTGCACGATCGCCAGCATTTCTTTGTCGTGTACGGGATATTTTCGCTCAGTCGATTGTAACTTTCGCGACTCATACGCGATTGGCTGAAGGCCGTCGCCAAAATCCTGTAGCAGAACTGCTCCGATTGCGATGTCACTTGCTTTGGTCACAACCTCGAATGATCATTCTGGGTCAGCAATCCGAAGTACCGGTGGCGAGATTCAAATATTTTTTAATCCGTCAAATGCAGCTTGCTGCTTCTCCCCTGTCACAGGATCGAATGTGTCGAGGAAAGGTTGCACTATCGATCAGTACAAGGCGCTTTTATACTTCCAGAGTACATCAAGTAACCAGGTTTATCCTATCTAAAGGAATAGACCCTTCTAGAAAATAGAATCACCCTGCGTATAGCCACGCGAGGCTATTGGCTGTAAGAGATTACGACAGGATTACGCTAGATAGCGTGTCTAGAACATTCCATGCTTGGTCGGTGATATAATTAGAATAAGGGAAGAAACCAAAGGATAATGGAAAATGGGGAATATGAGGCAAAAGGAGATGAGATAAAAAGAGGAATGAAAGGAAGATGAAATATGGAAAAGGCCAAGTGGTGTAACGAGGTCGTACTCTCACACTTCCCCCCCTCAAAGCTGGGTGGTAGAAGTAACACCCTGCTTTACAAGGTAGTCATGCAGAGGACGACGGGCGTTACCCATATCGGTCTCAGAGACCCAGCTGTCCTCAGAAGGATCATAACCCTTCCAGCGAATAAGAAGCTCCACGGTACCGTTCCGACGTCGGCGGTGTGCAAGCACGGACTCGACCTCGTACTCGGGTTCATTTTGGACGAGGACGGGCGGCGGCGGCGGCGGTTGGCGTCCGACGAAGATCGTGTTAGGATCCCGATAGGGCTTCAGAAGTTGGACATGGAAGGCGTTGTGAATCTTCCAGGTAGCTGGTAGGCGTAAGCGGAAGGTAACAGGAGTGACCTGTGCGTCAACGAGGAAAGGCCCGCAAAAGCGAGGGCGAAGTTTAGATGGGAGATGGCTGATGTCCAGGTTACGGGTGTCGAGAAGCACCTGGTCTCCCACGGAAATGGTGTGGTCGTTGCGATGGCGATCGGCTTGGCGCTTCTGTTGCTGTTGAATGTCAAGGAGGCGCTTATGGGTCCGATCCCAAAGCTGATGCATGGTTGTGATGAAGTCGTGTGCAGGTTGGACTGTTGCTGGTGTTGTCGGTTTCTGTGGTGTGAGTGGGTGGCGTCCGTAGCAGAGGAAGAACGGCGTCTGTCCCGTAGCGGCGTGTGTAGCGTTGTTGTAGGCAAACTCCAGGACGGGTAGGTGCAAGTCCCATTTGGAGATCTCGTCCTTGCAGGCTGCTCGGAGGAGTTGCTCAACAATCTGGTTAAGGCGCTCGGTCTGTCCGTCTGTCTGCGGATGGTATGCGGATGACATGGCGAGTTTGGTGCCGAGCAGAGACATAAGTTCCTTCCAGAACTTGCTAGTGAACTTGGGGTCTCGGTCGGAGATGAGTGTAGTTGGGATGCCATGCTGTGAGATGATGTGACGAACGAAGAGTTGTGCTGTCTCCTCGGTGCGTGCCGTCGTGTGCGTCGGGATGAAGTGTCCCATTTTGGAGAACTTGTCAATGACGACAAGGATGGCGTCATGACCGCTGGAAGTAGGTGGTAACCCGGTGATGAAGTCTAGGCTAACCACTTGCCATGGTTGTTCTGGGACAGGAAGAGGCTGCAGTAGTCCCGCCTTTTTCTGCTTGCTGCTCTTCATCCGCTGACATGTATCACACGAGGTGACGAATTTCTGAACGTCGTCTGCCATATGGGGCCAGTAGTAGTGTTTGGCGATACCGGTGAGCGTCTTGTTGCTACCGAAGTGTCCGGCGTACAGGACGTCGTGGTATTCTTCGAGTAGTAACTGGCGCAAAGGAGGGTAATTGGGTACCCAGATTTTTGCTGATCCTTTCCGGTACGCGATGTCACTGTCCCACTGTAGCAGATGTCGCTTTTCTGCCAAGGAAATTTCGGGGTTGATGGTATACCCGTGTGTGAAGAGTCCCTTGAGTAGTGGATTCATCCCTTCGACCTGAATCGCGGCAACGTGTGCAGGCCGGCTGAGCGCGTCTGCTTTGTTCTTGTGGCCGGGCTTGTACACGATGTCGTAGTGGAAGTGTGTCTCGAGGAAGTCGATCCACCGGACCTGCCGCCTGGAAAGGTTGGGTTGTGTCTTCAAATATTTCAGGCTGCAGTGGTCGGTGTAGACGGTTGTTCTTCGTCCTTCGAGATAGCATCTCCACGCTTTGAAGGCGATGATGATAGCAAGAGCCTCTTTGTCGTGTATCGGGTAGTTGAGTTCTGCCCCGTGCAGTTTCTTGCTGAGGTAGGCAATGGGTTGCAGTCCATTCCCTTGGTCTTGCATCAAGACTGCCCCCACGGCCTGATCACTGGCGTCTGCTTCAATGACGTAGTCACGTTCGGGATCTGGCAAGATGAGCACCGGTGCGGATGTTAGTGCTTGTTTCAGCTGCTCCACGGCTTCCTGGTGCTTCGTCTCCCATTTGTAGGGCGTGTTCTTCTTCAACAGATTCGTGAGTGGTGCCGCGAGTTTTGCATACTGTGGCACGAACCTGTTGTAGTAATTAGCAAAGCCTAGGAACTGCTGCAACTCCTTCACGTTCTCGGGTGTCTTCCACGTACGTACGGCTTCGATTTTCTTGGGGTCGACGTGAACTCCTTGAGCGCTTACCATGTGTCCTAGGAACTGGACCTTTTCAAGGGCGAATTCGCTCTTGGACAGTTTGACGTAGAATCGTTCCCGTCGAAGAATTTCGAAGACGCGTCGCAGGTGTTCGACGTGCTGCTTCATGTCGCGCGAGTAGATGAGTATGTCATCCAGGTACACCACCACGCATTCGTCCAGAAGTGGTCGTAGAATGTGGTTCATTTCGGCTTGGAAAGTTGCCGGTGCGTTGGTGAGTCCGAACGGCATTACCAGATACTCGTACGATCCGTACCGAGTTCGGAAAGCAGTTTTGTGGATAGAGTTGTCCGCCATCCGTATCTGCCAGTATCCGGACCGCAGATCCAGTTTGGAAAATACCGTAGCTCCCCGAAGCTGGTCAAGCAGGTCATCGATTCGCGGTATCGGATACTTGTTCTTGATGGTCTGCTTGTTAAGAGCTCGGTAGTCGATGCACATGCGCAGGCTTCCGTCCGGTTTCGGTGTGAAGAGTACTGGGGCACCGTACGGCGAAGTGGATGGTCGGATGAGTCTTTTGGCTAGGAGATACTCGATCTGCTTCTTCATGTCAGTCAGCTCCGTAGGGCTTAGCCGATATGGTGCTCGGAAGGTCGGCTTCGAACCTGGCTCCTCCACGATCTCATGTTGATGTGTGCGGTATGGCGGTAGCTCGTTCGGTAGGTCGTCAGGAAGAATGTCTTGGAACTCCTTCAGCAATTCTTTGATTTTCCCTGGAGGTTCCGAGATCTTCTCCTTGCCGTCTTCCACCTCTGTCGCTATTGCCAGGAACCCGGTGTCGGTTCGTTTCACGTCCTTCTCGAATCGTGCGAGTGTCTCCACTGGGATATCTCCTGTATCGTCCCAGTTGGGTAGCTGCACTCTCCGTCCATTGTTGTAGATGCTTGCGGTGCGGTTCACCCAGTTGATCTCGGGGTTGAATCTTTTCAGGAAGTCTCGCCCGAAGATCAAGTCAAGCCCTTTGATGTTGGTGATGGGGAGTGCAGGTCTCCAGCGCAGTGGTCCAATTTGTAGATGTAGCACTGCTTCGCCGTGTACTGGTAACTTGCTGCCGTCCACCATCGTTGCAGAGAATCTTGAAGGCTTGTACTCTTCGCGAAGTCGGTCGATTATTGCCTTGTCGCAGACGGTATGAGACGCTCCGCTGTCCACGAGTGCTTGGAGGCGTCGTCCTTTGCAGATGACCTCGAGCACGAGAGGCGGGCGTTGCTCGGAGTACCCAAAGATAGTCTCATTAATGGGGTCATAGGGTACATCCCAATAATCTGTACACACCTTTTCTTTGCTATCTGCTCCTGAGCTAGCAGCTGGCCGAGGCTGCTTGGAGAACGGCTCTTCTCCAGGGCCCGGAGTTTCCTTGACGACTGTGCGTGTCGTTGATGCCGAAGAACTGGATGCATCCGTAGAGGGAGTTCGGGGTTTGTGCAGCTTCTTGTAGACCCCCAGCTTCCTCTTGAGCTGCTTCAGCTCCACCGACGTCTTCCCTGGGGAGCGGGTAGTCGTTGTGGGCTGGTGTCGGGAGAGGACGTTGACTCCGTGGAAAGGTCGGCTTCTTTCCACACTCCTTAATTTGGTCCCCAAGTTGTCCGGTACCGGTATAATCTCCACAGCTTTCTGCTTCTTTTGGAGTCCCTCCCGTATTTTCTCCAAGGCTCTAGCCCCTCGAAAATCATAAGTTTTCATTAAAGCATCTTTATAGGATAGCTTTAACGAATTCTTATAATTTCTTGGGTCTTCAAGGAGTTTCCCCGTCTCGGCAGAGTCTTTTTTCGCGGAGTCTGATTTTCCCTCGGCGAATTTCCCTGGCGAAGACTGGTCGTGGGGTGGAGATTTTCCCCCATCATTTCCTCCTGCTCGCGTCGAATTAGCTTCGTCGAAGTTGATTTTCTCAGAATCCCGCGGCCGTTTCCGGATCTTTTTATTTTCGCCAGCTAGATCCGCAATCACTGGCGACTCCCGTTTTTTGTCTTTTGATTGGCCGGAAGATTTCCGCCACTGTTGCGTGCCCGATACTCTGCGCGTGCGGTCTTCATTTTGTTGCAGTCGAAGATTCGGTGGCCCGGCACCCCGCAAAAATCACACGTGTAGTTGGTGTTTTTCGGACGTGGCCGCCCCTCGAATCTGTCGACTTCCATCGGGTCGGCGAACGTGGGGTGAGCCGAGCGGTCGCCCTGTCGCGTACTGCCGACGTGCGTCCGTCGTGTTCCGGCGTTGACCATGTCGAAGCGCTCCGCGGCCGAAACGACGTCACTGTAGCTCGCGTAGTTTGACGCTGCCACCTGTCGTTTGACTTCGGTCTTCAGCCCTGCGAGGTACGATTGCACTTTTTCCCCTTCGGTCAGGTCGGGAATGCGGTTATAAAATTCTTCCATCTGCTGCGTGTACTGTGATACACTCCCGAACTGTCGATGACGATGAATTTTTTCGCGGGCAAGAAAACTTGAATTTATCGGTTCGAAGCGTTTCAGCAGGTCGGCGCGGAACTGCTGCCACGTGGCTTCACCGTGGATGAAGGTGCTGTTGCCGCCAATCCACTCGAGTGCCGGCCCTCGCATCAGTGTCGCCGCGAGTCGTACACGTTGACCGTCCCAGACTGGCGAGCTCCATCCGACGGCTGCGAAGTAGATCTCCATCCCGGCGATCCATCTGCGGGCGTCGGAGTTTCGATCGCTCGGATCGAACGGCTCAGGTGGGCGCGGTTTCGGAGCCTCGAGAAACTGCTGCGACTGCTGCGTCGTCGCCGTTGTCGTCTCGTGCTGCGCTCCGGCGAGTCGAGTTACTCGCTCGAACTGGTTTCGCCACGCTTCGCGATCCGCTCGCATTTCCTCCTGAAGGGCTGCGATGCGCGCGAAGAGCTGCTGGGTAACCTCGGCGTTGTCGAAGGTTGCCATCCTGTTCAAAACACGCACGGAGGGGGTAATTCGAAAATCGCGGAGCTGGTGCTTACCAGAATCGGCGTCGAATTGGTCGCCCCCGGCGGTTTTTCGAGGCAGGATCCCCGCTGCTGCTGCTTAGCTGAGCGCGGCCGAGTGAGAAAAGCTCTGATACCAAGTGTCACAGGATCGAATGTGTCGAGGAAAGGTTGCACTATCGATCAGTACAAGGCGCTTTTATACTTCCAGAGTACATCAAGTAACCAGGTTTATCCTATCTAAAGGAATAGACCCTTCTAGAAAATAGAATCACCCTGCGTATAGCCACGCGAGGCTATTGGCTGTAAGAGATTACGACAGGATTACGCTAGATAGCGTGTCTAGAACATTCCATGCTTGGTCGGTGATATAATTAGAATAAGGGAAGAAACCAAAGGATAATGGAAAATGGGGAATATGAGGCAAAAGGAGATGAGATAAAAAGAGGAATGAAAGGAAGATGAAATATGGAAAAGGCCAAGTGGTGTAACGAGGTCGTACTCTCACATCCCCCCTCTGATAATCAGCGCCCTTATGAAGTAGGTCAGTTAGTGCTCCAGTTAACCCCGCCGTGTTAGGGATAGACCGGCGCATATAATTGACGAACCCCAAAATTGATTGCAGCTCCTGGAGGTTTGTTGGCGGCTTCCACTCCTGAATTGCCCGAATTTTGCGGGGGTCAATTTTCACGCCTTCCGTCGAAATAACGTGCCCCAAAAACTCCTGTTCGGGTTTTAAAAACTCTCACTTAGAGCCTTTGGTGATGAGAAGCATCTGCTGCAGGCGTTGAAAAACCGCTTCGAGGTCCTTTAAGTGCTACTCCAGTGTCGTGCTATAAATCACAATGCCATCCACATAAATGATTACACATTTATTGAGTAGATCACAGAATATCCCATTCATCGTCTGCTGGAATATCGAGGGGGCATTTGTTAAGCCGAACGGCATGATAGTGTATTCGTAACTTCCGTAGCGAGTACGAAACGCGGTCTTGTGGCAGTCGTCGGTGAAGACTCAAATCTGGTGGTAGCCGCCGCGAAGGTCAATCTTCGAGAAGTAGCGAGCGCCTCGCAGCTGGTCAATCAGTTCGTCCGCGCACGGGATTGGGTAGCGAGCCTTTATAGCAACCCGATTTAAGGCGCGATAATCGATGCACATTCAGAGCCCCCCAACTTTCTTGGGTGTGAACAGGATCGGGGTAGTGAACGGGGACGTGCTTGGTCGAACGAACCCTTTGGCCAGCAAGTAGTCCAGCTGGTCCCGTAATTCCTGGAGCTCGGGTTGCGTCAGCCGCCGTTGTGTCCTGAAAGTTGGCTGCACGCCGGGTTCAAGTTCGATCAGATGGTCCTGAGGGCGTTCTGGTAGTAGGCCAGGTGGCAGGTCATCCACGAAAATATCTGGGAACTGACGAATTAGTTTTGCCAGATCTTTAGGGACCGCTGCGCAGAGCTTATCGATGTCGGCCAGTTGATTGTTGTCCAATGATTCCTTCTGATGGACAGCGTACAATTTTGTGCATTTATTGTCTCCGCATGTCAGCGTGATGGCGTTGGCGCGTGTCATTATCGGCTTTGCTCCTCGCCATTTTGGTAGTATCTGCCGATCATTCGCACATCTGACTGTGCACTCGCGGGTCATCCAATCGATCAGTGAGTTGTGTCGCCGAAGCCAAGCTCGTCCCAGCAGCACATCATAGCCATCGAGTGTCGTCGCAAGCATCGGCGCGCTGAAACCGAAATTGTCACCACACTTCAAGCGAATTGTTTGCATGCGATCGCGTATCGCCAGCGGGGTGCCGTCGACCAATCAGGCATTAATCTCGGGCAGACACCGCTCCAAGGGTAAGTTCATTTTTTTCACCGTTAGTCGGTGAATCAGGCCGTGGCTCGCACCACCATCGATGATGATTTTTTTTTTTTGTTAACCCATTCTTCTACTAGCACAGGGTAATTCACAGGTTTATCCCCATTATCCGTCCGAGAGCGGTCAATAGCATGTACCAGTACGACTACCCGGTGGAAATGTTGTTTCTCGGGCGATGCAGCCGTGTCAGTCGGGGGCCCGTTTGCTACAGACGGGAGTCGTGTCTTGGCTTATCCTTATCGCTGGTTTTCCTCTACTTCCAGTCAGGGCATTGAGCATATCGGTGACCTGGCTGGTGGCAGTGAAAACACTGTCGCTTCCTGCGATCTTCATCATTCGCCATAATGTCGTTGATCAAGGGCCGTTGATCCTGGCCACAAAAGCGATTTCCCTCCCGAGAACCAGATCTCGCGTATTTTTTATTGGCGTCGTACTGGTCGGCGATCACCATTGATTCTTGGAACATCGTTGGGCGTCGCATCCTCACTTCATAGCGAACGTCAGATTTGAGCCCCACGATGAACCGATTCTTCTTCTCAGCTCTAGATAGGTCGGTGATTTGGTCACCCAGTGCTTGATATGATGACGCGTACTCTTGGACAGAGGTCAATTGGTGCCAGGTGTTCATCTTTCTTACGTGCGTTGTCTGAGGCGGATATGGGCTCAAAACGTGCACGCAGAGCTGTACCCCATGATTTCCACGTGCGAATCTCGGTCGCTTCGAAAAGTGACGTTGCGTCTTGGGCAGCAGATTCCGAACTCCCGAAAAAACCCCTGAGTGGTCCCTGCCGAAGTCCCCATCTGACTTAGCATCGATCGCCACCAATCCAGTGCAGGTCCCCTCATTAGTGAAACAACCAGTTTGATTTTTAAATCATCAACAGTAATCCCGACAGCATCAAAATATAGCTCCTTCGCGAAAACTCAGGCCGTCATGGTGGTGTTTTTGTCCATGGAGTTAAAAGGGGGCGGCATCGGCGGCTTTATCTTGGCCACTGGTATAGTTGGTGTGGCTGCGGCTGCTGCAGAAACTGTTGCTGCTACTTCAGTGTGGGCGGCGGCCATTGTCGCAGCAGCTGCAGCTGCCGTGGCACTTGCGGTGGCATTCGTTCCCTCTTGCGCTTCATCATCAAGGCGCTCCTGCGACACTTCGCGTGCAATTACGTCCTTTAGTGTTTCGACACGTCCAGTGCTGGCGGCATCCTCAGGGGCGGGCGACTTCTGGCACGTAGTTTTTTGCGCCTGGCAAAGTCCGGTAACTTTGGCGCGAAGTTTCTCGATGTCGTTTAACAAAGCTTGCAGGCGAGCATCCGTGGCGGCGAATTTCGCCAATAGCTCGTCGAACTGTGCCTCGTCCATGTGGCGGACACTACACCGGGTGGGCAGGGGAATATCTGTGATTATGCGTGCTAAGGTAAGATCGCAAACTCTATCATAGTTGGGTGAATTAATTCATCTAATTCGCGGCCGACCGCTTTGCAGC